AATAAAACATCTTTCGTATTCCGAAATAAATAAAACGGAATTAAGGCAAGTTCTTTCTGTGCGGCCCGGTACCAAATGCCCGGCGGACCGGTACGGGTCCGCGGACCGGCGGTTGGGGACCCCTGACTTAGTCTAAAAGCGCAATTGCCGAAATAATTTGAACTTACTGTCCCAATATCAATACAAAAAAATACAACTGGGCATGCTAAAAGTGTGTTTTTTTTTTTTAAACTAGGTCTGTGTAAATCCAGGTCATGGTAATCCGCAAGGGTCTGTTTTGGGGCATTTTTTGTTGTGTTGTATGTATGTTTTTTTTTTTTAATTTTATTTATTTTTTTGCTTTGTTTTGTTTTTCTTGAATTACTATCTGCGAATAGATACCTCCCCTTTCCATGGTGTTTGCCGTCAATATCTCTCAAATAAAAAAACAAAACTGTCATGAAGCTCCATCGTACTGGAGATGCAGACTTTTAAAAATGTGTCAATGTGTCTCGCAAGTTTTGCGTTGACCACCCGTGAATGGGAAAATTGTGATGTCATTGGAGGCCAGCACTGAGCGAAAAGGCGAACTTTCACACAAACTGGAAGCAGCGGAACCAAAAGAAAAGCAAATCCATTCATAACGTTTTCTTCTTTGAATTGAGGTGAAAAATGTCAGCCAGCAGCCCCAGTCACGGGAGCAATTGTTCCCTCGGGTTTCTCTGTGCCTCCGAGAGTTCACCAAACGTCCGGCGTGTAAAAACAGAACCGCTCTTGAGACCACACTCGCAGCCCCCTCTTGAAAAAACAGACTTTATTTTTCAGTGTATCTTCGTGTATTGATGCGGCCCACCCAAATAAACGTACAGTGCCCAATCATCGGGGAATCCCGCCAGGATGGAAACACGCGTCAACATTAACGGCTCCCTAACGTCTCCCCGGCCGTCCTTGCCTCTCGCCTTCATTTAATTAATTTGCGGCGGCGTTGCTTTGCAAACGCACTGACAAATGACCGTCCTCAGTATCATAGCCTTGATTAAATGGGCGGACGCTTTCTCGCGTGACAAACGGTCGCTGGATCAGAGTGATTCACAATTCGTGATGAGTTATTGATCCCCCCCCCCCCCTTCCTCGTTACTAAGTCAGGAGTGCATTGGTAACGTCTTCCCGGCGAAAGAGTTCCATGAGAATTCACACTATGATTCTCTGTATTTCCCTGAAGTTCCCATTTGTGGCTACTTTCGCTTTTAGGATGGCTTCGCAATTCATGTCCATTTGCTGCTACAGTGGCACCTTGACTGGCAAGTTGAATGTGTTCCGGGACCCTGCTCGTAACGTAAAACATTTGGATCTCAAATCATCTTTTGCCATTGAAATGAATTGAAATGTCACCAATCTGTTCCAGGGCAGCACCCTCCTCCCTCCAAAAAACCCCAAAAAACACCATCAACCCCAAAAAATGGTAACATGTTTTTTTAATAGGAAAAATGGTCCCGTAAACTATACAGTTCACAAATAATTAATTAACTCAAGTCCCCCGGCCCTTCTGCGAGTTATGTTGAATGCTCTGTCTTACAACCACAACATCGACTCTAGTTTTGGTAGCCTGACTGTCGTGTTGTATTGTGTGCTAGCATTAGGCTGGCAGAGTTTCACGAGTCAAAGTTAGACGCATTTTGTACACTCTATGTATATCTCTTTGTTTTATGTTGGCTTTAAAGTTAACTTCAGCTCGCAG